CGCCCCCCCGATCCTCTTGTTCGTTAATTAATACATCGACATCTGAATATCGCGTATTACGTATATCATTTGACTAACGATACACCGAACAGATCGATGCGGCAGCCATTGCTTTTCCACGAGTACAAAGAGAAATCCGTAAACTCCCGCCAATAGTCATTTCGTTCTTTTTCTTTCAGGTCAGTGGTGCAATCTCCCTTGGCTATCAAGACCCAATGACATGGCTCATTGATGTGAGTGCAAGCAAATTATATAACAATAGATATAACATATAACGACATACATATACTTAAATGAATATGCCTTTTCGGTTCGACTTATCACGTGATTCTTGATTAATTGCTGGTAGTTGATTAAATGATCGGTTTGCGACATTCGGAGGAGGAGAGTTTGCAACGACACGTTCGTCGACGTGAGAGGAGTCAGATATCGTATCGACGTATTTATTGTCGTCATAGGCGTCGTAGGCGTCGCAGGCGTCGTAAGCGTCGCGTCATGCCGCCGAAGGGCACACGCTCGCGGTGCCAGAGGATGGGAGTTGCTTTACGAGGCAAAAAGTATTTTGTCACGACCTCACGCGAATATCCTGCAGAGGGGGAAGTTGTGCGGACTGCCGGATTTTAGAAGGCTGAACAGCAGCGCAGCCCTCTAATGCGAGGGCGAAAGAATTTCGACGGCAGTTGTTGTAAACAGCCCTACAGGCTTTTTAGGACCTTTGCATATGGGACCCTTGGAAAAGTCGCGTAAACATTGCACACTGCCGGTCGAATGCGAAAACTTTTTCTACTGCCTCCTATATATGCTTTTCCCTTCTGTTTTCGGTTTTGCCGTCACTCTGCTGAGAGAGAGAGAGAGAGAGAGAGAGTAGTGCCGATTTCGAAACCTACTTCGTGTCCGTTAGCCTCGGAAATGAAGGATCACGGTAGAAATGTGGCAAGACGTTCAAGCGGAGAGGTGATATTTGCTTCGATATCGGAATGAAAAAGCCACCGCCGCGTCATTCCGCGGCTGTAACGCAAGCGAGAGGTGCAACGAAAGTTGGCTGCAGGCGAACGAGCAACCGGGTTGCCGTTGACGTCGATGTTGGTCAGCGACTGCAGCCATTGGCTGCTTGTTCGTGCTCCACGAGCGCCGCTTGCGAAACATTAGTATTCTCCTATAATTAAAATGTAACTGAAATTGCAGTCGGTGGTGTCGTAAGGGTGGTACGGTGGTACGGTGGTACGGTGGTACGGGGTACGCCAGCTAGAGAATTAGGAGGTTTCGGTCGGCCGGCTGGCCACGATCGTGTGAGGCTGTTCGAGAAGGGCGCGTGGAAGCTGTGCGTGCCGGCCGTTCCGTTATTAAATGATACACTAGGGTCCGGGCGTGCCTCCTCGATTCCAGCAGGTAACGCACACATCGATGTATCCATGAGAGCGGATCTCATTTCCAGAGCTGCAGGCCCGTGAGTCTGTTCTCGCCATTGCACGGACTCGGGCTCTCCTGTGCAGAAGGCAGAAGGCAGAAGGCAGAGCGGCTCCACCGGCTCCACCGGCGCAAACGGTCTCCAACGGAGACCCGAAGCTGCTGCCTTAATAACAATTGGCCATAAACTAGTTTTAGTCGCGCAGCCTCGCCCCGGGTATTAGCACGCTGCTCCCGATATTGCTCAAACGGTCGGAGGGAGGTTCGACTGGCTCCTCCGTTTTCATCGCTGCCATCGCAGAAGGTCCTGCTCTGCCCGTCTTGGATGCTTTGAGGGTCCTGCTCTGCCCGCGTTCCTCGCTCCCTCCCGCCCTTCCCGGACGCTTCGACGCTCCGTGATGCCGCAATAATCGGCTACTCGACGGCTACCGCCGGCCGTTCGACGCCAGGAAATCTATCGTGATCTATCAGCATCTATCAGCAGCCGTACGACACGGCTTATCCGCTGATTTGCTTTACCCACGAATCTTCCCTTCCGCCGATCTGACTCTTGCTTTACTCTTGGCGTTATCGTCAGGCGGGGCACACGACCATCCCGTAGACCCGGCCAAGGAAATCCTCGAGAACGTAAACGGGAATGGGAATGGGAATGCGAGGAGGATATCTTGGCGGCTTTCTTGACGGTTTCAGTGGGCTGGAGGAGCAGGAAGCCGTTGCTTTCGTTGTGTTGCGTTGTGTTCTTTGCGTGCTGGCACGCACAGCCAAACGCACACGAGTGCGTCTAACTATGGTTAGAGGCAAAGCGAGGAGGAGGACGAGCCGTTTAACGGCTGCGTGGTGCTGCGTGGTGCTGCGTGCTGCCGCGTCGAGCCAACCCTCTACACTTATTTCGCGTTAATTCACCCCTCAAGACCGCTTAGCGCCGCCACCCCATGGTGTTTCGAGAAGCCACCCACTCTTTTCCTGCTTTACCGTAAACCCTCCCTCTTCTTCCCATTTCTTTTTTCCTCCTTCCCCGTTGCTCCCCTTTCCCTTTCGTTTCCTTCGTTCGCTCCGTCCTCGTTGCTTCCTTTTTCTCACGTGCCGCGAACCCGTTCTCGTTAAGTCACTACAGACTACACGGCTACTGGCGGCCGCTTAAACGGAGCCTTACAGTGCCTTGTAAATTCATTGACTGACGAAAATACCCTTGGAATTTGAGCAGCAATGGGTGTTGCCTTCCGCAACACCCATTTCTCCTTTTTCCCTCGTAGTACCTATTTCCTTATGGACTCCCTGGGGAGAATCGCTTGGGATGCTCTTGATACGATTTGACCTGCAGCGAGGGGTAGCTTTACGCTTATGGGGTTGTACACAGGCATTAAGGTATAATTCGCCGTTGCTGGAATCGTTAGTGGCCACAAAAGGATTTCAACTCTGGCGAAGCTTACCGCGTGCAGTCTCTCGCTCTCTCGCTCTCTCGCTCTCTCGTCCTCTTCTCCTCTGCCTTCTTTTTTTATATTTTTCTGTTTTCCTCGCACGGTGGTTCCCCTGTCCCCCGAGGGGACAATGAGAATGCGCAACCATACTGCCGGCTCAGCCCATAAATTGATTTGCGAAAGCGTTCGCTGAAAAAGCTCGTGGTCAGCGCACCGGGGAGTCCCGGCTTTTGAGCTTATAGGCGAAAAATTACGCGTTGGCGAAGGATTGTATTTATGTTAGACAATTACGAGAGGTGAGCAGTAGGCGACGTACCGAACGGAAGGTTTTTCGACGGGAATCGCGCACTTACACCCTCGTTTTGCAGCCAACAGCCGGCATAGTGAGGGGGGG